TTTTACAGCTCACAATCTCAGGGTTCACAATGGGATCAAATGTCCTGCAACACTTTTTCTTCCCCTTCCTCCTCTTCCTCTTCTTCCTCTTCTTTTCTTCTCCTCCTCCTTCCTCTTTTTAAAACTAGCCATCCTAGAAGGTGTGAATCTGTATCTCCTGGTTTTGACTTGTACTGTCCTGTGATTATTAACATTGAAACATCCTCTGATTATGGGGCGTTTGTACTTATTGTCTGGATAAATGCCAGTCAAATTCTTTCCATTTTTCAGGAGCTCTTGGTTGTTGTTGATCTCTAGCAGCTCTTTACATATTCTGGACATTAATCCCTCACTGACACATGGTTGTGGCATTTTCAGTTGCATCCTGTAACACAGGACTTTAAATTTCTGCAAAGCCCAAACTAGCTACTTTCTCCATGCATTGTTGCGCGTTTTGGTAAATCCCAGTTGAGTTTTAAATTTTCTGTTTGACTGCAAGCCATATGCTTTTGCTTTGGAAACTGACACCTGGTGAATATTATGGTTTAGATCGGAAATGCACCCTCAAAGGTGTCTGTGTTGGAGGCTTGTTCCCGTTGCGGCCAGTGAGAAGCCACGGAAACCCCACGCCAGGCATTTGTTTCTTACTGTTGTCTGTGAAGAGTTTTGCAACTTTAGTCCTTATTATTTAGATATTTGACGTTTGAATGAAGCTTTAGTGCCACGTAAGGGTCCAGCGTCATTCTTGATTGTGGACACACATGCATTAGCTGACAGGGCATCACTTCTTCAGAGGCTCTGTGAGCAGTTAAGGTGACCATGACATAACTGTACGTGGGTGTCTTGCCTGGGCTTTCTGTTCTGTTCTGTCCTGTCTGTTCAGGTGTCAGGCCAGGCCAGCCCCACCCTGCTTTGGCTGCTGTGGCTTTGTAGTGTTGAAATTAGGAAATGTGTGTTCTTCAGCTTCACTAGTTTTCCAGGGATGTTGCGGTCACTCAGGTCCATTAAGGTTCCAAATGGGTTTAGGATGGACAGTTCCTGCAGAGAGTGCGGGGCCTGGATAGGCTCTTCGGTGAGCCTGTGTCTGGTACTCCCCAGCAGTGTCCCCTTTGTGCCTGTGAACACGGATGCCTCTGTTGATTCTGTCTTGAAGCAAGGCTTTGTACTTTCAGTGTGTAAGGATTTTGTTGTTTTGGCTAGGTTTGTTCTTAAATATTTAATTCTTTTTTGTGCTGCTATAAATATGAATTTTCTTAACTTCTTAAAAATTATTTTTGTGCGTGTGAGTTCATACACGCGCCCTTGCACGCTCCAGGAGTCCTCCCGTCTGGCACAGCAGAACTGGAAGACGCGTGCTGCTGTGTCCAGCTGTGTGGGTCCTGGGAACCCAAACTCAGGAAGCACTTCCCAGGGGCCACCTCCCCAGACCCCGATTTTCTTTACCATTGCTTACTCTATATGAAAACAACTAATTCTTTTCATATTGGTTTTGTAATCCTAAAATTTTTCTTATTTTTTCACTTCTTTCAGTGTGTTCTTTTGCTTTTCCTAAGAACTACATTCTTGTGTTATGAAGAGAGATCATTTTTTAAAATTCCATTCAAAATTTAGGTGTGAGGCCTAGTAACTATTTATTTTCTAAAGTGACAAGATAAAAATGTCATATTTACTGTGTAAAGTACATTTTCAGCCACCGACACACGGTGGAGTGGTCGAACTGGGTCATTGGAGCATAATCTTGTGAAGTTATTTTCTCTAGTGAGAACACTCAAAATCTGCTTTCTGTACAGTTTCCAGGAATACGATAGGCTGGAGCTAGAGAGACGGCTCAGTGATTAAGAGCTGGTTTTACTTTAGCAGAGGACCTGGGTTCAGTTCCCAGTCCCCACATGACAGCTCACAGCTATCCACATCTCCAATTCCAGGGGATCCAGTTCCCTCTTCTGGCCTCCGTAGCCACCAGGCAGCGTGTGGCGCACACGCATACATACAGCGGAATACTCCCTCACACATGAAGACAAATACATGGTTTTAAAAAGAATGATAATGATATGCAGCAGTACCTTTCTCGTTGTGCTGCACGGTAGAGCTTCTGAACTCCTTCCTGCTGTCTAACTGAAGTCTTAGTCCTCGCTCAGGACCTGTTAGTTATGAAGATAGCCTTTGTTCTGTGAGCTCCCACTCCTGGGACAACTCTCAGAATTTCCAGGTAACTGAGTCCCCCTTTAAGGTTCCGGTGTGCGCGTCAACCATGCATTTCTGGTCTGGAATTGATTTGAGGCAACTTCCTTGGTTTGGAGCTGAAATGTCCCCCAGAGGGTTGGTTCCTATGGCAGCAGTGTTCCTAGAGGCGAGGCTCTGGGGATGTGATTGGATCAAAGGCTTAGACCTCACCGTGGATTAATCCTCCGATTCTAGTACAGCGTGTGCGGTGCAAGTATGGGGGTAATGGAGGGACCGGAAGGACGTCAGTTCCTGGGAAGTGCCTGTGAGGCCATGGCTTACTCCTGCCTCACACCCTCCCAGGTGCTTCCTGGCCACCGTAGGCAGGCAGCTCCCCACACATCCCATTCTGCCTTGCTCTGGCCCAAAGCCGTGGCTTAAACAGTGACTATGAACTGCACCTGGTTTTAAGTTCTTTGTCTCAGGTGTGTAGTCACGGGCTGGGGGGAGCTGGCTGGCACAGTGTGTGTCTGTCACGTCAGCAGCCCTTGTGCATGAAGCGTCTGGTGAGCAGACAGTTCTCCAGGATCTGCTGACAGTAAGGAGGAAAGACCTCAGGCTGCTCTAGGGGGTGCACCCTGCCACCTGGACGCGCAGTGCGGTACAGCAGGAAGGCCTGGGCCGGGAGAGCTGTGCGAAGGCGCCAGCCCAGACCTGGGACCGGCTGTCTGCTCCTCTGCTTCTGTTCATAAGGCAGGAACAGCTTTCCCTACTGTGCAGCGAACTAGGAGCTGAAGCTGAGGGGAGGAGGTGGACTTGATTTTAATTAAAGGCTTTAGTCAGCACACAGACTGTGACTAGGCTCTCTGAAGCTCGGTATGTTTGAGGTTGCAGGCAGTGCTGTCTGAATATTTCATAGATTCAGTTGGCTTGGGCACAGGATGGAGCAGAGCATTAAGGGCTCATGCTGGAGCTTTGGGTTGAGTAGTGAAAACTTGGCCTTGTTCTCAGGAGCCTGCCTGAGCAGGAGAAAGGGCTGGAACACAGATGCCTAACAGGCAGCGAAGCATTCTGAGGTGGAGACCAGGCCGGGGAGCGACCTTGACCTTCCTTCCTGACCTTGAGCTCTCATCAGCCCACTCTTCTTCGGTGGCTTCTTCATAGCTCGAGGGTGGCCCTGTCCCCACCTGACCCTGTTGGTGGCCAGTGTCGCCTCCTGCTTCTGCTCTCTACTTAACATCATAAAAATGAAAATCTGTGATTTCCTGGGGACCGTGCCCAGCTGCTCAATCCCACCCGCTTTCCATTCTTAGCTTCTCCCTACTTAAGAATAACAGCACCAGGTCACACTTGCCAAGCCTTTGTCCCAGTCTCCAGCAGCCATTCCTCCAGCCATCTGTTCCCCGGATGCTCACTGCCCCGTCCCAGCCTCTCCGTGGACAGTCAAGGGGCCAAGCAGCCACCAGCTCTGCAGCACCTCCCGCCCACACCTGCATATTTTCACCAGCGTGCTGGCCCGTCCTCTCCTGCAAGTCCCAGAGACAGAATGTTGGCTGGGAAAGGCAGGGCTGTTCCTATGGAGATGAGAGTGGACAGCTCACAGCAGGACGCGCAAGCGAGCTGACAGAAGCTGGTTGAGCGGAGCTTGCTGCTGCCCTCACCTTTCGAGTAGGTGTGTTTGAGGAGCCTCAGCAGCTGCTGTGTTCCCACTGGGTCACTTCCTTTGGTCTGGATGAATCAGTCTTCTCTGTTCCCACCTTCATCGTTTCCTTTAGTCTGAGCCAGTGTTCCCAGACGGTTGAGCAAAGGCCTGCCTGAGGCCTGAGGTCCCCGGTGGTCCCAGACACTTGTGTAATCAGGGCAGGCTCCATACCGTCTGAGTGGGTTGTGCTAGCGTGGAGAGAAACGGCCGCAGCCTACTCCGCCGTGTCTGAGACATCTGCCCAGGGACACAGGGCTCCTTGCTAACGTTCTCTACCCCCTTCCATCCCATCCTCTGGACTTCAGAGGTGTGTGGTGAGCAGGCCTGGATCCAGTGGCTGGATCGGGTGGTTCGTCAGCAGCTGGAGGCAGAGGGGGCATCACTCACTCAGGGTTGCTGGGTAGTCAACGAGGGAACCTAACAACTGTGCAAACACATCTGGGGGCAGCCCCACCCCTAAAGATCTGCTACCAGCATCTTTAGATGAACGCCACAGCCTTTCCATCTTTTTTCATCCTGATAAATTCATGTTAATGACGTTCAAATTCTGTTTGTCAGTCACACTGTTGTTATCTGATCCGGCTGGCAATGACTCTCGTCATATTTTATGGCTCCTTATTGTACGCTGATATTCCCCTGTGCAGTTTCCCAACATGAGTTCTCTTCCCTGGGGTGTTCTCAAGCATATGAGGCAGGATGGCTGTGCTGGGAATGCTCTGTTTGCATTTGTGCTTGTATCCTAGATGTAATAGACCACAGGAGTGAATTTTATAGGGATGTTAGAGAGTGCAAGGGAAATGGGGATTTGTAAGGACATAGCACATTCTGCTCATTGGTATAGCTGTGTGGACCAAGAGGTAAACCCTGTTTTTGCTTCTTGGGATATCTAAGAATGGAATTAATAATAATAATGAAAACATAAACCAGGGGCTGAGACCCAGATTTCAGGGTAGAGAGCCCTGATATCAACCTTTATCCATGGACAATAAGGCTCAGTATCTGCAGTTCTGATTCCACAGTTGGAATTATTTGCAGTCAACTGTGGTCTGAAAGTACTGCACAGAAACTTCTAGAGACAACCAGTATATAAGTTTAGGTTCTTTGAAGCTTCAAGTTCTCCTGCCTCTCAGTGGCGTCTTCCTGTGCTCCCTCACAGGCCCGGTTCCTCTCCCCGCCAGCCCGCCGTCGGCTGCACGCTCTGCTGGCCTCCTGCGCCACGTCCATGCTGATCCTGTTCAACCTGGTGTTTCTCGGGGGGATTCAGGTCGGAAAAACCTACTGGGACAGGATCTTCCTACAAGGTGAGTTGTGCGCAGCTCTGCTGCGTCTCCCTTATAAGCCGGTGCTACTGACGGCCTGAGAGTCGTGTGAGAGCCACGTGTGTAACACTCGACCAGCAAGGCGTCAGCCAGGAAAGGGATCTGCCCTGCGTGACTGCAGTGCTGCCTCTCCTCAGGTACCGTGTGCCGGCCACCCGTGATGCCTGACATCCAAACGTGGGACCCCAGCTCTCCTCCATGCTCCCCTTCATTACATTTCCAGTGTTCGGGGCATGTGTTATGTATGAGGAGGCATGTGTGTGCGGTGGCATATGTCAAAGGGCAACTTTGTGGAGCTGTTTCTCCCCTACCTTTCCATGGCTTCCGGGGCTAACCCAGGTCACCAGGCTTGCCCAGCAAGCACCTTCCCCCGCCGAGCCTTCTTGTTGGTACCGGCTGTGGACTAATCCCGTTTTCACATACACTGGGTGGATTTCTTCAGCACCCACGGCAAGGCCACAGCAGTAGCAGGCAGAAAGCTGGTGTGTGGCAGTTGTGAGAACTTTATCATAGCAGCTGAGCCTCCATCTCTATGGTCACCACTGCCCATGGGCTGGGCCTAAGATACACAGGAACCCTGAAAGACAGGACAGCCGCTGCCTGCAGCACTGTGGCTAGCTCGCTGTGCATCCAAAGAAAAGCTCCCTACTGCTCCTGCCATGCTGGGGAGGGCTTTGTGGCTCATCTTCGGAGCTTCTGCGTCTGGTGGGACCCTCTCTTGAGTCATGTGACCTTGCTCCTGGGGGCACTGCAGTTCTCAGCTATACACGTCTCGCAGTGAGTCGTACGGTGTTGCACGCACACAGATGCACGCCTGACAACTGCAGGAATATGGAAACTGCACACGCACAGTCCCCAGATCTGACGGAGATTGCTGTGTCCAGGTGCACGCTTGCTGAGTGTGAGGGCGCGCATACACACTCACTAGTTCCCTGGGAGCCCTGTCCCACGCCTCTGGCATCTCCACAGAGCCAGCACTCCCTGCCTCCCGCAGCGGGCTTTGCTCCAAGCTGCCCGGCGTACCTCGGTGCTTCCACGGCAGCTTCCTCCTCTCTGGGTGTGAGCAGACTGCACCCTCCTCTCTGCTGGGCACCCGCCCTGCCCTCATGAAGAACAGAACGCAGGCGTGCCCAGGAAACACCGGGGCTCTGGTGCAACCATAGTGCGCACGTGTTTACAGTAAGTGTTTTGCTGAGATAGCTCAGCAGAGAGTAAGGAATCCGGGCCCCTGCCTGTGTGTGTGTGTGTGTGTGTGTGTGTGTGTGTGTGTGTGCGCGCGCGCGCACGCACGTGCTCAAGCCATTTTCTATGCTTTAAACTGCCTCAGGTTCACGGATCTAGGGGACGTGGCTGGGGTCTGTGCCATCTGTGTACAGACAAGGGCAAGGTGCTGCTCATGCCACCTTTGTTCACAGCTCTGCGAGGGGCAGCTTTGACCTTCTGGCTGACGTGGGAATTGATTTCTCCAGCAGCGGCTGAGTCCCACTCTGTAAAGACGTCAGTGAGACATTACTCTGTTTTATGACTTTTCCCAGGAAGACGTAAACAGACATCTGTTCACACCGACCAAGGAAAGGCCCCACCAAGGGCCCCGCCAAGGGCCCCGCCCAGCCTCCCTTGGTGGCCCGGTGGCAGTGTTGGGGTCACTCGCAGGAGCGCAGGCCACTCGGCAGCTGCATTGCTGAGTCACACATCCACGCAGGAATGAGCCTGCACACAGGTGCCAGCCTTACCCCGTCCTTGGCACACATGCCCTGGTGTGCTGCCCTCCTGACATACCTCCACATGGCACACGCGCCCACATACACACACCTACAGACACACAGAGCCCCCAACACTTTCCTAGCTGACAGCCTGCACATCTGCATGCCTGTGCCATGTGTACACACACACACACACACACACACACACACACACACACACACACCACCATATCACCTCCCGTATGGCCTCATGTAGTTTGGGAAACCGTGACTCAACTCGTCCTAAAGAACCTGGTTCCTTTTCCTCTGGACTCCAGTGAGGAGGAGCGGTGCTGTGAGGGCCTGACATCCCGACACTGTCCTCTCTTGGCTGTTTGCTGCTACCCTTTCACGGCCCTTTCACGGGGGTCGCATATCAGATATCCTATACATCAGAATTCATACCATTCATAATAGTAGCAAAGTTAGTTACGAAGCAGCAACAAATAGGAGTGTGGGGTCGCCGCAACTCGAGGAGCTGTGGTCAAGGGCACAGCGTCAGGGAGTTCGAGGACCGCTGCTCTAGAGGGTTGAAGAGCAGGCACCTCCTGCCCAGCAAACCTGACTCTGGCTCCTGTGTTTGTCTGTGGCTAGATGGAACCTCAGTGGCCGCAACTGCCCTGGTTTTATTTCTGTCACTGTGATAGCACACTCTTTAGCAAAATCAGAGGAAAGGGAGAGGAAATGGGTGATTTCATCTTACAATTCCTGAGTGCAGCCCATCGCTGAGGGGAAATCAAGGTAGGAAAGAACTCAAGCAGACGGTGACCTCACGTACTCTCAAGAGCAGAGTGGACCCTCCCCACCACTCTCCCCCCCCCCCCCCGTACATCCTCCCTCCCCTGCTTGCTCTCTCTCATCTAGAGCAGGACGGCCCGGGCGGGGCTTCACACCTCAGTCAGTAATGAAGACAGCGCCCCACAAGCATGCACTGCAGTCCTCAGCAGGAAGCTCAGCACAGCTCAGATTAGCTGGATTAGCAGTCCCAGCCAGGAATGGGAGACTGAGGAGCGCTGGCCTCAGCTCTGCGCCCATTGTCACCCAGACATCTAGGCTTTCACAGGCGTGCTTCAGGTCCAGGCGTCTGTGTGAGAAGTGAGACCTGGGGCAGTGGTGTAGACGGACACTCCCTAGCACTGGAGGGCTGCACAGTGGCCAGAATGTGTGGAAACACCCTCTGCTGTTAGCTCGTGTGAGCCCTTTCCTGCCAACCAGGAATCCCATGGAAGAGGGGTGTCGTGAGGTATCTTTAACAGAACTCCTAGCAGACATGCAGTTGATCAAGCAGGAAGGAAGTGATTCTGTGTCTTTGCTGATAGCTAAACCCACAGATTTGGAGCCCTCCCCTTTCCACCGCTGAGTGTTCTTGCCTCCATCTTCCTGTCTCTGCAGGGTGCCTCGAGGTGTCTCAGGGTGTCCTTCCAGGACCCCAGGGCGGTCAAGACCTTGCTGTAAGATAAGGTGGGGGAGGGCTTGATTTTCCTCTGCAAATTGAGACAGATTACTTTTTAGGAAAAGGTGTATGTTTTTGTTTTTGTTTTTGTTTTTTTTTTTTGTGTGTGTGTGTGTGTGTGTGTGTGTGTGTGGTGTAGATTGAAGATATGGAGATCAAGCCTTCAGTGTTACTGTACTATCTGTAGTTTGGGAAGCCCTGCTAATCCCCTGTGCTATGTGACCCAGCTTGAAAATGGCTGGCAGAGACGAAGCTGTGCTTTGTCCCACTTCATTCCCAGCCTCAAAGAAAAGTGCTCATCTAGACTGGGCAGCATGATCTAGACTGGGCAGCATTTGGGTCTAGCATTTGCAAGCCAGGCACTGCTGTGGAACAGGTCACCCAGGCTCTAGCGGCCTGAGCAGGCAGCTGCTCGCTTCACCAGCCTCTGCGCCGAGTGAAGGCTGGCCGACCTAGTGCCGCCTCTTCACTGTATCTGTGGCTGGCCTTGGCTTAGCTTCATTGGCCAAGAGAAAGTGACGGAGCTCCGAAGGAGAGCTTGTCTGTTGTGGCGACTCATGTTAAGTTTCAGAGAAACAGCTGTCTGGGAAAGTAGTTTGGTACGCTGCTGAGCTTGTGCCAGGCCTGGTACTAAGCAAGGGAAACCCGAACCAAAGCAAGACAGAGCTGCACTCGGCAGGCACGGCTGCTGCAGTCACCCCAACCCCATGGAGGGAGAGCAGGAGGACTACCCTGACTTTGAAGCCAGCCTGGGCTATGTAGTAAGACTTTCTCTTAGAAAAGTAAAAGTGAAAACAAAATCAGTAGGTATCAGGATGGCTGGCGGCCTGTCCCCTGTGCCTTTCAGAGGCAGGATTGAGGGGTCAGGTAGGGCAGCTCTGGGGCCAGAACACACCCGGGGAAAGACCAAGAGATGCCGCCTTCCCCTGCTAACGCTGGCCGGCCTCTGAGGTGAGTATGTTGGCGACGAGCCGTTCTCATATGTTTGGTGAGGTCTCAGGTGAGAGGCTTCTGCAGCAGGGAGTTTGTGTTCTGGATGCTGTCAGATGGAATGAGGGGTGCTGCAGCCAGACTGTAACAAGCTGGGATCTGAGATGGGGTTCAGCCCAAGAGAGGGGCCAAGTTAGAAGCCCCAGGCCCTGGGTGAGGAGAGCTGAGATGCTCGTGTGGTCATTGTACTCAGTTCCCACCTTCTGTCTGCCTCCTTCCTCACGTGCAGATCTAGGCTTTTCAGAAGCGTGCATGTCCATGCCTGGATCCCTCGTTCAGCCTTGTTCACCTTTGGCTTCTTCCCTGTGTTAATTTTGATAGCTCCCTCTGCCCTGCTCCTCTGTAACAAAGCAGCCTGGACGTCTTCTGGTCACAGGGACCTGTCTTTGGAGCCCTGCTTTTTCTCAGCTTGTTTTTAATTCAGATAGAAGAAACCAGATAAATTGAACAGAACTGTTCCTGTTTTAAAATTCTTTTGTGTTCGCGGAGTCCTACACCTAGTTCTCTCAGATTAGCACTGCAGTGCTGGTTGCTGCTCTCATGTCCTTGGCTGTGCCCAACAAGACTGCGGGAATGCTGGGCACCGCCGCACAAGATCGCTGTCGGTGGTGGGGACTTCGCCAAAACAGGTAGACGCACACAGCGAGGAGCTAAGAAATGTGGGAAGTGGGCAAAGAGCGGGCAGTGGCCAGGGGAGTCTGGATGAAGCTAAGATCCTTAGTAGAGAAAAGTGTTGGAAGCCAAGGGGCCCCAAAGTTCTTGCTCTCTGTGTCCTAGGGCCAGAGGTCACAGTGGTC